TGTTCCTGTTGTTGGCGTTTGATCTACTGTTACTTTATATTTACATTGAAAAATTTGCAGGAATCACTGTTAAGGTGGGGTTCAGTATAGGCGCCGCAGAGTTGCCATAAATAAACTCAATCGGAATTTTTTCCAACTTTTTGCGACTTCTCTACGCACTCCCCATTTCTATCTCCCATTTTCGGGCTCCCATTTTCGCATCCTACATATAGCTACGTCTTTTTTTGCAAGGCTCCTCCTGGTACAATTTTAGCACCGCGTCGTACGCTTGACCTGTTCCAAAGCAATCCGGGCACCGATTTTCAAATCATAGCCAAGCAGGTGGAAAATTCTCAGTAATCTAAAAAATGCCAGAAATTTCTACGATTCGGTTTTTCGAAAAAATCCAGGTACTGGAAAATTAATGCTGCACTAAAATATGATATGTTATACAATTTTATGTGGCTTAGATTGTGTAGCGGCAAGTGGCGCACTCACCACTCGTGCGGTCCTGGGTTCAGATCTCGTATCGACCCCCGCCAGGCCAACCAAGCCTTCTACCCCCGGGGACGGTAAATTGGTACCAGATTTGTCTGGGAGGATAAAACACTGACTTGTACATCGGCTGGCCCCCGCAAGTCATTGTATAGGCCACACCGCATTCAATAAGCCACTGCGATTCTGAATGGAAGTAGAATGCGTGGCGCATCCCAAAAAGGGATTGGTCAACGGATTAATCGAAGACTTTACCCTTCATCCTTCACTGTACGATACGATAGGATAATATCCTGTACTACACTATATTTTACTATATTAATTTGTAGAATTCTATAGTAATTCTGCCACAGTTTACTATATTATTTTACATTGTGCAAAAGCACTGTTTACCAAAGAGAGCGCGTTATATATATTATATATTTGGCCCGCTTGCGCGAGCGCGTGCGAGAGCGCTATATCCTCGAGGACTACCATAGCTTTTCTAAAAGAGTAGAGAAGGACAAGTTCGCGCGACGGGAGGGGGAGGGAGGGGGGATGAAGTGTGCGTGCGATGTGAGCCCATACCTAGACAGTATTTTCTTGAGTGTGAGCTTCTATACTTGGTGGACTATATCGTGGCTTGCTCGCAGCTTCAAACAGAGTGTGCATTGGTGAGTGCCACTGGATTGAGATCGTGAGAGAGAGTGAGAGTGAGTGAAGGCAGTATGGAAATAAGGAAAATCCACAAAATGCCCCTCCGTCGCCGATCTGTGAACAGGGAAGCATTTGTGCGAGATGGGGCTCGAAAACATGCTATAAGGTAACAGAAGGCTCTCTTCGCTCGGAGGGGCATGTCGCAATTTGCCTAGTTTCTTTTGGTAACTTATCTCAATTACCAGGTTACAGTTGGGTGAGGCTTGTGAACTCCTGTGAAACTGCCAAGCGAGACAAATGTGCCTTTTTGATGATAGGAATGCACAGGTCTTCACAAGGTGGCCTAACCTCGCTTCGCTAAGCACCTGCTGCCCCCACCAAGCTGAACCGCGCTCATCATTTCAATGGCTATCCATAAGGACATAAGAACCCGTACGTTGCAGCTTGCAATCCCATTGGTACAAGGCTTGCAACGAAGAGTAACGAGGTTATATGAGAAAAAACGTCGCCCTTTTCTTCAGAATGTTAAATAGCCCTTCATATTTAGCCTTGAACGAGCAGTGGCAGTGTTGAAAGCGGCTCCAATGGGAAAAATTCGTATTGGAGTGGCAAAGCCGATACCAATTGATCAGGTGGGTTTTGTGGTTTCATCCAAAAGTCGCTTGTCATCGGTTTTTCTTGTGGCATTTATCTGCTCGTGGAGGAGGAAGAGGAGAACAAAGGCGATGAACGTGCGGCTCTTGAGCCCCTCACTCTTTCTTCCCATGAATCATTCGCGCACAGATCACTTCTGGGTGATATCATAGGTGATACGGGAGGTTTTGCCCGCAGGACAGCTGTCCTGAATTGCAGCCTTTTTTGCCTAGAATTTTCAATTGCTTTAATTTTCTCATGGTAATTGCTCGAGCATATCCTCGCTATTTTCTGAGACCGCATCCATTTCAAGCCTCCTTTAGACCTCATTAAGGAATCCCAAATCACCGGGTTTCCCCTGGAAAGGAGCAGACTTGCAATAACCCCCACCCTCCTCCCCTCTCTATCCTGCAACACTGCACTTGTTTTTTTGCCCAGACTTTTCCCCCTGTTGCACTGCATACCTCTTTTTCCCGAACTACCTACAAAATGAACTTGTAAGTACTTCAACAAATGAAGTATGAAGTAGCCAAGTATCAGTCGAGTGTGTTCCCCTCGTCGGTCAACAACGAAGGAGGCTAATCGATGAGGCGAAGCCTGATGGAGAGTGAGGAGAGGGGGGGGGGTGAGTGCGCCATCAGCGTCTTCTCCCCCGTCGTCTCGTCGTTCGTCGCACTCTCACCGCTTGAATCTACTTTAATTTTCACATCAATCTCCATCTATCATCGAACGTTCTACACGGGGATTTTCACACCTCAGGACCACGGGAAGCACCTGTTCAGCTCAGCTTCCAACGCTGGCTGACCCACTTCCGCTTTTGTTGGCCTTAAATTGGCCATCTATCCGGCACTTGCACTTTAGATCACTTCCTCCCTGCACACATCTGCCCTTCCGAAATTTGCAGCCCGAGAGCCCACTAAATGTTTTTCGCCAGGGCTACTTTTATTGATTTTCCAATGAATTGCTTTGTACTAACGATTTTCAGCTTTTTTCAGTGCCGTAGCTCTGCTCATTCGCCCATTTTCACACGTAGTGAACGCCTTCTTGCCCGAGGAAGTAGCCCACGCGGACGAAGGCGTCAAGTAAGGAATTAATCGCTCTTTTTCTTCACTCCGCAAATTTTTCATTTTTTTCGGTGGTTTTTGTTGCTTTCGTTTCTTGTTGAACTTCATTTCCAAAGTTTTGGGGCTGTGAAAAGTGCCGTCGCCACCTGCTAGATCGAGCTATATGTGATTCACCGGCGTGATCTTTGAGCGATCTTTGAAGGAGCATCTTTAGGAGGGTCTTTTTGGGATCAGGGGGTCTTTGTGTGGTCGGTTTTCGATTGCTGAGAACGGTCAGGTGTCAGTGCGATGAAATGGCTCAGAAGGTTCAGGGTATGCTAGAGATAGAGATCTTGGTGCAATTTCGCTAGGTGGAGGGGCATTCAAGGGCCTCCTAGAACTGCCGTTATGGACATGAGGGTTATAGTTAACTCTTGGGCATGTTTGGGAGTCTTTGTAGGGGTAGGGGCCAATTTTTGAATAAGTGAGTGGGATTGGTATCAGTGCAGCGAAATGGTGCTTGAACATCACGAGGTAGTAGGTTTTGGTGCAGTTCCGCTAGCTGGAGGGGGCATAAGAGGCATTCCTTGTGCAAAACTACGCTTGTCGTAATGGACGTGAGAGTTGTTGTCAATGTCTGGGAAAAGGAAGGAGCTCCGCTGTGGGTGAACTAAGCTGTTCAGGCTAGAGGGGTTCCGCATTGAAGGTACTCTCAGTGTGCGCAAAGGGTCCCTGAAATGCCCCCAGCGCACTCATTTCAAGATTTCCGCAAAGATTTTTTTACCTTCAATTCTACCCCTCCACACCACTCGACGAATTTTCGTTGGGAATTCGGAGGTAATAAGGTAGGAAAGGTTACATTTTGCAGTCTGAAAGGTCGCAGTTGAGGGGACGAGGATCCTGTGGAAGGGTCAATTTCCTTGCAGCCCATGTTGCCCCTATTTCTGTCGCTCCACTTTCAACCGTTTACTGAAAACTAGTCCTTTTCCACTGATAGATTGAATACTGTCCAAGTCAATCAAACCCGTTTTCTCTCCTGGACCAATAAATTACAATAAACACGTTTAGGAGAGAAAAACAACCATTAGCGCTTGTTAGGTCATCGCATCTTCCTCTCCCCTCCCCTCCCCCCCCCTTGAAGGTAATTGTTTGGGAGAAAGAGGAGAATCTTGGAAAAAATAGTTATGATTAATATTTGTCATGCGTAAACTACTGGTCAAGACAGGTCATACGTTGGAGGTTCCCAGCGGAGGGGGGGGGGGTTGGGGAGGAAGGTCGTGACTTTTCTCGGTTTCTGCTGTTCCAAGGGCCCTATGCCCCTCTCCTCCTCCCCTTCCCAGCTCGACGGTACATGTTGGAAAGAAAACTCCGGAAATCTGGTAGGAAGCTGGAAAAAAATCAGGAAGATGGTAGGGTAGTGTGGGGGAGGGGGTCGGGTTGCACCAGAAGAGGGACTTTGGAGGGAGACCTGGACCAATTGATCACACTAAACACTTTGTGGGTGAAGACAAGAATTCACAGGGCTAGTTCGGTCATTGCACCCCAGTCATTGCGCCCTGAAAAAAGCATCCGCAAAGGCGGTGCTTCTTTAGGGAAAAAAGTAAGGGTTTTCGGGAGAAACACTCCGGAAAAAAGGGTAGGAAGTCGAGAGAATTCAAGGAGGTGGTAGGTTGGATGGGCCAAGGGGGGGGGGAGTCGGAGTAGAGGAGAAACTTCTGAGGGGAGAGTTGTATTTGGCCGGATTTGTTCCCGAACGACAGAACGCGCTCTAGTCGAGGTTACTTCACCACATACTCTCCTGGTTGACTATACGATTCAAAGCAAAAACTAACGCAATTACCTTTACGATTTCGAGCGATTGTCGGATATATGGCGTATCCTAAGGGGATTAGTTAACGCTGACTACTGTACTTATTCACATTCCGCTATAGGGAGGGGTTTATGTAAATGTTGATTTGCCAATGCCGCCGTTGGTATGTATAATTACTACTCGGCCGGGAATCCGTTGGTCGTCCCGACAGCAGCAGCTAAAGGAAGCCCTCAGTTAATCTATATATGCCCCGTCGCATCCGAGCAGAGTTCCTGTGCCAATTATGCCAGGAAACTCTTCGCTTGTTCCCCCCTCTTAGCCATCAAGGGTGGCCCTTCAAGCTTTTGAAAATTGCTTGACTTTTTTCATCGCCAGTCATGTGAATGTACTTGTGGCCGCCTGAAAAGTACTGCAGAAAATGCAGAAGTTGCAGCAGAGGTGTTGGTAATCGGATAACGTATGGGCATAATTGCTGCTGTTAGATGGGTTTCCTCCTCCGCTACGTCGTCTAATCAGATTCTGCCGTCCTCCCCCCCCCCTCGCTGAAATTATCCCCATTCATTCTTAACGCACAACGACATGAGGAGATGTCGTCCACTAATGTAATAATCCCTTGCTCGACTCGGCATCGCCCGGCTGCCCGACGACGTCCGGCCATCGCGGCGCTGGCAAAACCGCCCCGAAGTCATTCACCTCGCGCTATTATATCCACATTATTTGTTATACGATGCTTATTTTTCGCTTCTGAATCAATTCCATGGCTTGTATGCGTGCCAATCGGGAGGGGCGTGTGTGTGTGTGTGGGTGTGTGTGTTTCCCCTTCATTGCACCTTACCCTCAATAGCCCAAAATTTCCGCCGTCTAAACGGGTTCTGCTCTGCAAACTTTTTACCTCTCTATTCTTCGCGTGAGGAAACGAAAAGATGTATATGGATAGCTTTTAGGGAAGAGGCGCTGTTCGGCTTGGAGGGGCATTTTTGCACTTTCGTTATTTTTATTTACTAGTTCCTGCCACCAAGGTAAAACCCATAGGCTCTTATCAAGAGTAAACGAAGCTCATGCTATTGCATACTTTCACAGGTCTTCGCAGAAGGCATCGGGAGTAGAAACAACAAAATGCCCCCTTTAAGCCGAACTGCGTCCATTTTATAGCTTTTGTAGCAAGTTTGTGGGCTACGGGCGATGTTCGGTTTATGGAGAAGGGGGGGGGAGCGTTTTGCTTTTGTTGGTTCCAATTACCTAGTTCTGTCACCAAGAGAAGAACCTGTAGCTCTGGCCGAGTTTAAAGAACCCCTCAGCTGATATTGCAATAGCTTTGAAAGAAAATTGGCAGGTATTCCACAAAGGCATAGCGATTGAGGCGAGTAGTGAAATACCCCCCCTCTCTCCAAACGCCGAACTCGCCCATTTCATCTACGCCTTTGTAGAGCAGTTTTGGTAAAGAGTGGAGCTGCAGGTATATCCCAATGTGCCAGATTCCTCGAATGACGGGACGGTTTTATGTTATTATTTACATAACAATGAGGGTGTGGCTGGAAAAAAAGATACAGACCTCATAGCGAATACGGCGATAGCGCATTGAAGAACAAAAACAAAGAAATATAAAAAACACAGTGCAACAGAATCGAGAAAATGAAGAAAAAACAATGGGATCAGTTGCTCTGCTGACGGTTTTTTCCTATTCTTGATTGTCATTTTCCCGTCAGATCCATCAATCAACTTACCTGGGGCAAACTTCTGCAGAAAATGCATTCCTTTAAAGGGGGGGGGGCTACATTCTTCATCGCTTGGGGAAAACTTTATAACAAAACATAGCGCATTTCCTTTCAAGAGTTCCTCTTCACTACGGCACTTTTGGCAACCTACTTATGGCGCTGTTCGGCTTGGGAGGGCATTTGCTGATCCTTTTTCTAGGTCATCTTAGCTAACAGATCTCGCTCTGGTGAAATCTGTGAACCCTTGTGGAGCTGCCAAGTAGTACAAGGCCTGCATTCCAGTACATCGACAGTCTCTGACACGGTGGCCAGGTGGCCTGTACAGGCCTATGCGCTAAGGTACCCTTTGAGTGCACGCCCAAGTGCCGAATACCGCATACCTTATGTTCTACCTCCACATAAATTTCTAACACTCTTTGCAAGCTGAGAAGAACTCAGGGGAATCGATGAGGTTCTGTATAGAACGCATAAAAGGGAAGCAACAATCAAAAAAAATTTCCTGGAAAGTAAATACCAGTGCCACCTCACTCTGACGACCAAATACGACCCCTCCCTCTTGATCCATCCAAAACTATCTCCTGCGCGGAGGTGGAGGGGGCATTCACGATTTTACTATCCGGGAGAGGTCTTATGACACTATGTCTCCATCTGCTGTGAGGTAGTATGTTACGCCTAGTTTCCAAAAGCAATATTGCGGGAGGGCTATAAAGTGAAGATTCTTTTAGCAATGTGCAGTCACCCAGAAGATGTCATGCCCCTCCTCCCCCCCCCCCAGCACGGAAGAGTACCAGTGATAAAGCCCCTCTGATTAGAAAATATCCGAAGTTTTTAAAACGTTTACCAGTAGATTTTTCTTGTTTCCCTACCAGGATTAGGTTACCTCAACTATACATTTTGCCATGCTAAGAGACTAAAAAAACAATCCACGGAAGAAGAAACCAAAAGCGCATCAGGGATCGCCATTTAGCTGGCACGGCTGCGCCGGTGCCAGAAGCAGTACCTTTGCATGTGTGAGGTAATCTTTAATGGTAAACCGCGCGTAAACACGGACTGGGTGAACAATCCGAGAGTGAAACTGCCCCCTCCCCCATCGCCGCACTGCGCCAAGTTTACGGTATAGCATTAGCAAATAAAAAACAGCGCATTAATAGTAGTATAGAGTCTCCATAACTATACGTTAGCAATAGCATAGTATACTTGAAGCAGCTTTCCGTTTACTCGAAGCCTGTCCATAATATGCACACCTTTCGAAGGTGCAGTTCGTCTTATTTTGTGAGAGAGGGGGGGGGGCACCAAATGGTAATCAGCTAATTTTGTAGAGGCCATCTTGTGAATACCTGTAAATTCCAAAACTAAAAAGCTCACTCACTCCATTTCGCAGCTCACAACACTACAGAGGTCTTATTGTGGTGAAACATGTTATTCAACATGAACTAGCAAAAGACGCTAGCGAAAGTGCAGAATGCCCCCTACAAGCCGAACAGCGTCCTTTTTGCTTTTTCCAAAGCTTTCAAGCTTGAGGACTC